AGAATTCCGAAACGTTTATCCATGTCCCCTTTTTGTCAATAAACAATGTTGTATATCATAAGTGTCGTATTTTATATTTTATAGAACTTGTATATTATATTTGTTCTTCTTTGTCTCAATAACAAAACAATTCTGGAGATTTTTTTAATAAGTTAAGCTGTAACTTGTAAAAAAGATATTTATAATCAGAAATTGAGCCCAAACGGAACTATTAATTCTGGAGTTTGCTAAACCTAAAGCCGAATATAATTACATTACACACGTAACAGGAAATAACTTCTGTGATATGCGCGGTGTTTTGCGTTGTTTTTTATTCTCCACAGTGAAACTATATTTATTAAAGATTTGAAACATCTATGATACATGTTATATATATATATTCTAAGGTACTTGTTATGTACACGTAATAACTTACTAAATGTCATCTAATCTTTGTTTTATTGTACAAAAATAGACCCAATTCCACTACCCTTCTGTTATTTACATAAGAATGTAATAAAAGTTTTAGTGGCACATATACTTAGAGAATTACAAAACACGACAAGGTCTTCGCTCTGTGATGTGATGAATAAACAATATCGTGTTTAGAATAAGATAACATATGCAGTCTGTCAAAATTACACAAACACAAGTCACCTAAAACACATCTACTCAAAATAACACAAAATCTATACAGAGAGCTTCATATAAAATACGATAAGTACTTACACTAGAAAGTTATATAAAGACAACTGAAACACTGACTCAATCGGCATTGTTAAGCCTATAACCAGCTACTGCAGTAGAACACCAGTCTCGTGAAATATGTAAAAGTTCCACGTATTTAACAAACTTTATTCATTTCTAAGGTTATCCTTACTACAAGACCGTACACACTTTTTAAATCATACATGACTCATCGTTAATTTCATTACACAAACAAAACAAGGTACATTCCGATTTAATGTTGAATTTTCTTTCTCTTGAGCACATTCTTTCGGATAATTCATGAGCATTTGCATGTTTGGACGGAATTTTGAAAACTAAACTCTGCTTTATAAACATCTAGATTTTAGAGAATTATCCCATAATGCACCCTCCATACACGTATTTCATCGACCTGATCATCTTTTGTTTGTTTGTTCGTTTTGGAATTTCGCGCAAAGCTACACGAGGGCTATCTGCGCTAGCCGTCCCTAATTTAGCAGTGTAAGACTAGAGGGAAGGCAGCTAGTCATCACCACCCACCGCCAACTCATGGGCTACTCTTTTACCAA